CCTTGCGAATGGGCTTAACGGGGTCCGTGGACGCCGAAATCCACGCACGCTTCCGGGAAATGGGAGGTCAAGGAGTTACCATTGCTCGGATTAAAATCTAAGCCTACATCATCTTTATGGTTCTCTAGCTCGCTATGCTCCTGTGATCTACAAGCGATGAAAACAAACTCTGATTATAATTGCTCAATGTCTGTCTAACAAGAAAAACGGACGCGAACCACGTTCTAGCGAGAATTCGTATCAATTCAGTTAGACGGTTGTTGCGTGCACAATTATAGTTGTGCACAAAAGACAAGACAAACCTTTTTTTGCTTGGACGACTGCGTGATGCGTTGAGATTGTGTACTTTCGTCAAGTGATGTATGATTGTAGTTGTGGATCCATGCATTTGTAGCACTATGTCACACACGCTACATGTCGCAGACTGGCCATCAGAGGCTTTGGTGCAATAATCCCACACCCAGCTTCTCATCGTGTTCACTACGAATGACGGCTGTGTAAACAATACACTGTCAGCAGCAGAGATGTTCCACCGGCATGGTAGTGCCGTGACGTTAAGGGGATGCCGGAGTGAGCAACGAACTTGATAAGCGTCGATAACGTAGACCGATCATCAAAAAATAGAAAACGTTATCTTCATTTACCGACGATATCGAATTTATATACACATATATACTTATAGGATAAAGACGATCGTCAAATAGGCGCTAACATGATATTGCAATTACTTTTCACAGATGTTATGTAAGTGTATGTGCTACGTTGTCATTTCAATTTTCTTACACATAGACGTTACGTAAGTAATGCCACGTTACCGATATTCGCATTCTCTCTTTGGAGAGACTTTTGCTGCTTTTCTGATGAATTCTTTAAACCGCTTGTATACTGGATGCATCAAAGAAAAAGTTTTTAGAAAAGAGTGTTGTAGGCGCAAGCATAGTTTGCGAATAATATTTTGAAGAATACGTTCCCTATTATTTGAGACTTCAATATAATTAGCAACGATAATTTGAGATTTTTTTATTTCGCACTGACCAATGTTACACTTCATTCTCGCACGTAATTTTACCATATAAATTGGAGCAGTTAGTAAACTATTATATAATTATTGAAAAATTAAATCAGTGTCATGATAGCAGTAGTTTCACATCGTTTTCATCCTTGAAAGAGGAATGCCCTATTTCATTTATGCATATATCTTTACTACACAAAAGCATTTTTAATTAAGCATTTTTAATTTGTTCGCGGTGGCGGCAGGGCTAATATACCCTTATGTAAAGGGTCCGAGGAATTGGAGAAAAACGCTTGTTGATCGGGTGCAAGCTCACCGAGATTGTATTGTATTGTATTCGAAACTTCGAGGCTTCGAAAATTCGAATTTCGAATATTTTGTATCGAAGCTTCGATTCTTCGAAGCTTCGAATACGAAGACTTCGAAAGAAAATTACAGCCCTATTCGAAACTTCGAGGGGAGCGGTGCACTTTGACACGGGCATTTGGACACAGCCAATCACAGCACCGTGTGATTAGAGACATTTATAGGGTCCCTTGGAACAGCGACTTGTGATTGGACTGTGTCCAATTGCCCCGTGTCCAACTGATATACACCCAACTTCGAGGCTTCGAAAATTCGGATTTCGAATATTTTGTATCGAAGCTTCGAATACGAAGACTTCGAAAGAAAATTACAGCCCTAATATAATCCATTTGTTTTGCGTATGTCTTTCGTTTTTATGCTATTAATCATGGATAATTAGATGACAAACAACAATAAATCATATACAAATGCTTGCAAAATATAAATGAACATATAACAATACAAATAATATCGCTGAAATGCCCTTATAGAAATATCATACTAAAAATCATTGATAATTACTTATTTTCAGTATTAGAAATATTGGATAATAAGTAATTATTAATGATTCTTAGTATAATATTTCTATAACAATCTATCTACCGTACAATATTTGTTTTTATAGGTAGGTTGAAAGTATAATAACGAGAATATACAATTATCCTGATTTTTTACAAGCGATAAAATATACATTTGGACATTCGAGATAATGTGATGCATTACTTTCTCACTATTTATCATCAGCAATAATATTTTCATATGTATTAAAAATTTCATTGTAAGCAATGCAAATTATGTATCTATATTCGTGTTTGCATTAAACAAGCCTGACACTTCCCTAATTATCTCTGATAAATAGCATAAAAACGAAAGACATATGCAAAACAAATATATTATATTCGAAAAATATTAATTTCATGTCCTAAGGTAAAAATAAAAAAATATCGTACACGGACAACTTACTCGTTACCGAGATTTTAACGCTCGCTGCCGACTAAAAAATGTTCGATGTGTGAGCCTCAGTCTGCTCAGCCATGCCTCGCTGAAAAATAATCGCAACTTTAACCATATGTGTGATACAATCCCGCGACCCAAACTTTATTTTCCCACATAGTACCAAATAATTGCAGAAATATTACATTGCAAGTTTGCAATGATGCAACAACGTTGCGCGACGTTGCTGCAACGTTGCAGCAAGGTTGCAATATCCCCTATCAGAGAAATTGCAGTGCACCATTACGGAGCAATGTATTTGCAATAATGCAATGTTATTATTATATGTTATGTTGCATACGGGATGAATATGAACAAATAGGCGGAACTGTTTTACTATGCAGGATTATTAGCATTACATTGCCGACGGTCTCGACTTTGTAAGTTAAAATCCTTTACAGAAATATCATACTGTAGAAATATTGAAAAATTATTAAATATTAGTAATTTAGTAATTTTTTGGCCGGTACTTAATTCCTGGTGAATACTGATAATAAAATCATCGTTAAATATTGATAGTAATCAAATACTGACAATTATTGTGCCAAGATGAAAAATGAGAAAATCATAATATTTAAAAAAATATGTTTATAATTTCTAATTTTCTCATGTTTCATAAATCACTTGGTACCGATCATTTTCAACATACACTCCAAACTTTCATAAATCTTTTGTGAAACAAGTATATCACCGGTTACCACTCACATGTCCTGACTCCGTTAAAGTGTTGCTTAACTTGACGAGCGGCACGCGGTGATTCCCAATGACTCGAACGATATTCTTACAATTTATGCTTATATAATGTATCTTTGGTAATTATGCATAATAATGGCGATCTTATAGATTTCAATCACTTTGATATGTTGTCAAGGTCACTTTCCCGAGTAACATGCAAAAGGTTTTAACTGTCGCTCGTTGTTTGTTAAAAAGTTGCATAAAATGAATGTAATTTTTGGACACCGTATATACAAAAATACCTAATTTGTAAGTTAGGAAGATGCCTGCTATACACACTCACATACTGTTCGCCCGCCTGCGCACTTGTCCGCCCGCCCGGGCGGGTTCGCGGTGTATGCGTGTGTTCCTATTATATTTCAAGTATTATATTTTAAAAATAGAAAATAATAAAAATAAAAAAAGTACCTCTTTCTAGCCATGTAACTGGGGGTGGGGGTACACCCTCTAGATTCTCCGCATCGCGGCGGGG